TATAGGAAAGCTACAGATTTCTGTGTATTAATTTTGTATCCTGCAACTTTGCTGAATTCTGATACTAGTTCTAGTAGTTTTGCAGTGGAGTCTTTAGGGTTTTTTATGTACAATATCATGTCATCTGCAAATAGTGACAGTTTGACTTCTTCTTTACCAATCTGGATTTCTTGTATTTCTTTGTTTTGTCTGATTGCCGTGGCTAGGACCTCCAGTACCACGTTGAATAACGGTGGGGAGAGTGGGCATCCCTGTCTTGTTCCTGATTTCAGAGGAAAAGCTTTCAGCCTCTCGCTGTTCAGTATGATGTGAGCTGTGGGTTTATCATATATTCTGCCAGTACATTTTTAAGAGCTACACATGAACTAAAATAAACAAATGACTCCAGTAATACTCCAGTAACACTCCAGCTTTGGCATACAACCCATGCCCTCTGTAAGGCATCTTACTAGCACAACCATTTTACCAAGGCATGTCATTAACCACATAGTAATAAATGCTAGAGAGAGAGAGAGACAGACGTGGCTTCAAGCCAATTAGAGTCATCAAATCTTTCATTAATGCTTTTGCTTCTTAACTCTTAACCATCAAGGATGACTACGGAAGTTAATAACTCAACTAAAAAGTTTCTGTAATATCTAAAAAAAGAAGAATGTTCTTTTCCTCCAGTATTCCAATCTGCTGACATATGTAATATTCTATACAGTTGGAGAATGCTCAAGATGGTATTCTTACTTAGAAATCTCATTTTTTTTTGACAATAGTAACCATTCTCTAGGAAAGTATAATAGTAATATATATTTTAAAAAAGGTCCTACAAAATTATTTTTTCTTCAAACATTATCACCATTTGAAACTAGAGGATATATTTCTATACTGTATACTATAAACTGTACATCTCCCTCTACTAGAATGTAAGCTACAAACAAGTAGGGACTTCATCTTATTCACTGCTTCATCTTTCATCTATTCATTCTTAGAAACATGCCTGGAACATAGGAGATACTAAAAAGTATCAGGTGAATGAGGGAATGACAATGACTTTGTTGTCACTGAATCTTGAAGACACAAGATTTTCATCATGAAAAAAAATGAAATACTTTTAAAAATGGTAGCAATACTCATGAATCATACCTTTCTAAACCTAAGAGTTTAGGAGAACAATTTCCAAAGTACATGGCACACAAAATATTTTCATAGGGACTGTAGGCCAATGTGAAGCCTGAAATAAGACAAAATTTTTTCAAGTCTCTCCATTCTTATACTGTCTCTTCAAATCTCTTGAACTCTTGTCCTAATATTTTAGAAGCAGTTATCATATTTTCTGAGGAACCAAATGTGATAAATTTTACAGACAAATCTGTTTTTGAAATCTAAAAAAATATGAAATTTTGGTCTTTTAAAAAATGATTAACATCTCTCATGAAATCTCTTTCTCTGGGAAAAAAAAACAGTACTGTTTACATCTCATTCCCACTCAGCCTTTACAAAGAACAGGTCAACTGCATGTGCCTGCTATTGTTCAGGGATGATAAGGTTAAAACTTTATCATGTAAAACCTCACATATTAAATTTGCAGGATGAATTCTTTCCTTTTTTGAAAAAGGAATAACTTAAAACTTAATTTTGATAGAGAATCTATAAAATAATCTCTACAAAATATCACGTTAAAAATCAGTAGATTTTTTTCTCTTTGAAGTGCACATAGTAGTTAGCTACAAAGGTGTAGGTCATTTTAGAGATGTACCTTGTCCATCATGGTTATCACAAGTTAAGCCATTAGGGCTGTGCTCTTCTGAGCTCTGCCTGTAAAGTCCTGCAGACAGCCTTCTTTCAGCATGCTGCAGTCTCTCATAGCCAGCTGGAGGGCCAAGGAGCTCCATCTGCTTTGCCATCACCTTTTCAGGCTGCTAGTAAGTAAAGCAAAAATAAAATCAGGAACTAAAACATTCAAAGTTTTTTTAATGGTTTAAAGATGCCCATTTCAGACTCCAGCAAATAAATTTAGTATTCATTAAAATTAGTTCACACTTCATGTGGTATACACATTCCATAAATATGCATAGATGTCTATATCATCACGTTAAAACCTAAAATGTTGGATTCTGTGCCAAAGAAAAAAATCTTTCTGCTCAATCCTATAAAGAGAATTCCATTTCAGCTTAAAAGCAAAATAACCTTAGCTTTGTTTTGCAAAATACTGAGTCCTTTAAAAGACTTTTTTAAAAAAAGAACCTTAGAGCAACAGCAACATCTGCTATAAACTGATTCTAACACACAGGGCATTTTTACTTTAGGATTTGGCACTACGCAGACTCTGAAATGGTGGCAGTATGTTTGGGGGAGAAAGGTGTAAAACTGCTGTCTAGAAGAACAAGAAAAACATACCACCCACTAAAATTAAACAATGCAAATTATGCAGCAAAACATCAGTGCCAGTGAGGATCTTCACCGTCATCATGGAATGAAACTGCAGTATTTCCCAACCAATCATAAAAAGATGTTTTAAAATACACGATTAGTTGACTGACACAGTTTATCTCTGCATGTGTCTTTTAAGTTCTTTCTCTGTGTACTGCTCTATATTACTAATATGTGATATTCAAAGTTAGTATATATGTGGTATTTTGCCAAGGAGGTAATAGTCAAAATGCAGATATGAATCACTACCTTACTATATAATAGTACAAGGAAGCTACTATATAAAATTAGTTACAAAAAATCCTGATTCACAATAAAAATCAACAGGCAAAATACATTAATTCATAAAGTAGGGTAAAAGCTTATAGTGTTTTTTCTGAATGCACATAAGCCAGATCAAAAGGAACTAAAACTTCAAGTAATTTGAATTTGTTACTAATTAACTGATAAAATTTCAGTAAGACTTTTGAGGGGAAAATCTATTTTTCATCCTCTTAACATAGAAAAATAAAACAAAACTACTAAATCTGACCAAAAGCAGTCACTAGGGTAAAGTCAACAGGAATAAAACTGTGCTTTCTCAAGCATGATTTGCAGAAATAGCTTTTTAAAATACTAATTTCAGCATACACAGATAACTTAGGAAAAGCGCCTGAAGCTACATATTAGTAATTCTTCATTACACATGAAATAAAATGATTTAACAATAGCTAAAATGTCAACTCCGGATGGTTTATTGAGAATTAGTACTATTTTATCTCAGAGCTGTATTACACACAGCCATAGTCAACATGGCTGTTTTCCGGGTATCAAATAGCTTCTTTTGAGTCTTCCTAAGTAGAGAAAGTCTTACTTCCTACAAAACTACAAGAATAAATAAGTATCACTGTATAAGATTCTGCTCATAAACCAAGTCAAACCAAGTTATTGCTATCTTACTGATACAGCTGTAGATCAGATGACATTTTAAAAACAACTAGAAATATATTCAGTCTTTGGATGCTACTGAAGCTAGTTGAAGCAGCCATTTATTTTCCAACCCACAGATATTATGAAATATAACTAACTGGCGGTTAATGTCACCTGTGCACTAAGAGCAGCAAGTTCTTCATTCTTAGCTTTAGCCTGCTGGTAGAGCGTTTGCATGGGATCCTGGAAATCTGGAAACCCATCCTGTGGGTCAAAGAATAAGTCCTTTTTACTTAGTTTGTAAATAAAACAGCCATTTTATCAAAATTCAGAAATTAAAGCAAAGAAAACGATCTTAATCCTACTACTAGAGCAATCATGATTACAATTTTAATGTACAATACTTCATTTCAGTCTTTTATAGTACAATTACCTTATTTGTACAGTTGTAACCTCAGTAAAAACTTTAATGAAAAAAAAAAGATTTCAACATCCACCTTATTTTATAGCAGAATGCAGACTTCGTGATATATAACTGTTGATAACATTTCATCTAATGGTTCATTACTAAATCACTACCCTCATTTTGGACATTTAGATTCTTTACCTTATTTTTGGCTTGAAAAACACTGCAAAAATATACAGAAATACCATTTCCATAGTTTAGATTACCCAATAAAATAGATTACTAGAAGCAGAATTATTGCAAAGGGATGGAAATTTTTATGTCTTTCACATACTTTCCCCAACAGCCTTTACTGATTATCATACCATAAGCATATATGACAGTTTTCCTTGACAGTACTGAGTGGTGTCTTCTTAACTGTTGCCAATTTATATTTTTGTTTTGATATTCAAACATTTTTTTATTTTATATAATGTAGTTGTATATATTTTTATTTTTATTTTGTGATTTCTTCTGTTATAGTTAGAAGGGTATTCTGCTTTAGAGATTTGGTAAGTCCTCAATTCTACTCACCAGTTTTTCTAAAGCTTTATTTTGTTGTTTGCTTTGTTTTTCAAATTTAAGTCTTTAACCCATCTGTAATTTATTTTGTTATATGTCATGTGATAAAGATCCAAAGTAAAATTTTTTGAAGTACTATGCAATAATACCTAACCTGAATTTCAGAAAAATTCTTCCATGTTGATTTGTGATTTCTCCTTTGCCATCTCATATGACATGGAGTGGGGCTTTGGAATTAGGAAGACCTGCACTCATGCTCCGATTTCACCACTTAGTAGCTATATCCTAACAAGGATGAGTAACTTAATCTGTCTGAACTTTAGTTTGCTCATGTGAAAAATAAGGGTAAGAACCTATCTATTAGGGTTGTGAGGACAAAATAAAACAAGTAAGATATTACCTTTAATATGTAGTAACTGCTGAATAAGTTTATCAATATACATACTAAATTCTTATATTAAATAGAACCCACTTGAGGCACTCTATTCCTGGGCAACACTTCAACTTATTTTCATTTTATGTTATGTATATAAATGCCCATCCATCTACTACTTTTTTTAAGTTGTTGGGCTTTTTGCCCATACTGCTCCACATGAAATTTATAACTAAAAACATCATGACAGCATGGTTTTAGTAACTGTACTCAAAACAGGACTCCTCGCAGAAATTGTCATTAACCTCCAAAACATTTCTCCCCTATGTTATACATGTGTACAAACATCACAATAGCATGGTTCTGGTAACTTTACTGAAAACATCTCTCCCATATAAGCTATGAATTTGTAGCAAAGGGTGAATCATTAAAAACCAAAGTTCTTACAGTAACATAGCACAAAGAGATATAATAGTAAAATATCGTGACCTGTTTGAAATATGAGATACTGGTTCAGGTTCAAAAAATTTTCCCCATCACAGTCTTTTTAAAGAATTATTTCTCACTGTAGATCTCATGTTTTTAAAGATTTCATCTAACAAAATTCATTTCCCAAGTAATCATTATATTTGCTATTTTTTAAATTCAAAGATAGGAAATGAAATAATCAGAGTCAAGAGCAAATAAAGCTGACATCTTGGGACAGTCTTGTATAAGCTTTATGGTGGGTCAACATATAATCAACATTTTTAAAGTACTAAAATTATCTACTTTTTTAGGTCACTGAAAGACCAAGGGGTCTTGGCTTAGAGGAATGTATAGAATGTAATCATTAACTAAACTAGATAAACTTTTTTGTTTTTGTTTTTGAGAGGGCATCTCTCATATTTATTGATCAAGTGGTTGTTAACAACAATAAAATTCTGTATAGGGGAGTCAAAGCTCAATGCACAATCATTAATCCATCTCAAGCCTAATTCTCGTCAGTCTCCAATCTTCTGAAGCATAACAAACAAGTTCTTACATGGTGCACAAATTCTTACATAGTGAATAAGTTCTTACATGGTGAACAGTACAAGGGCAGTCATCACAGAAACTTTCGGTTTTGATCACGCATTATGAACTATAAACAATCAGGTCAAATATGAATATTCGTTTGATTTTTATACTTGATTTATATGTGGATCCCACATTTCTCCCTTTATTATTATTATTTTTTTTATTTTTAATAAAATGCTGAAGTGGTAGGTAGATGCAAGATAAAGGTAGAAAACATAGTTTAGTGTTGTAAGAGAGCAATTGTAGATGATCAGGTGTGTGCCTGTAGACTATGTGCTAATCCAAGCTAGACAAGGGCATTAAAACATCCACGGATGCAGAAGATTTCTCTCAAAACAGGGGGGGTGAGGTTCTAAGCCTCACCACTGTTGATCCCCAATTTCTCACCTGATGGCCCCCCTGCGACTGTGCCTGTCTTAGGTTGTTCCTCCCTTGAGGAATCTTACCCGTCTCTGGCTAACCAGTCATCTTCCGGGGCCATACAGGGAAATGTAAAGTTGGTAAGTGAGAGAGAAGCCATATTGTTTGAAAAGGTTAGCTTTTTACTTCTTTGCAGATTTATGCCCTGTGGCTTCTATGCCCAGCATTTGTCTTGAGGTATCTTTACCACTTGGTAGATAAACTTTTACAAGTATATACAGTCTAAATCTAAATGAAAAGTACACTTTTTCTTACTTGTTCCATTTTTTCCCCTAAGAATTTACTGAGACATAAATCCAACTTTTTCTTTTAGCAAACTCTCCTCTAAGTTCTAAAGTTCAATGAGGTAAGCTAGTACAAGACTTAGAAAATAAGAGCAGCTAATATTTTTCAGGTGCCTCCATTGTATAAGTTCTTCTTATGTTCTATACTTTATATATATTATTTCCATTTACTCCCCATCAGAAATAACCCTGGGTTTCCCTCATTTTACCATTTTTTACAGGTGCAGACACCCACTTCAAAACCTGTACCCAAACCATAAAATCCTGGAGTTAGCACACTTATAAAACTCCTATCACTAAATAGAGGCATTTCTCTTACAGCTTTGTTTTTCATAAACTGAAGTAGTTTAACTGTGGTTTGCACTGAGTTCAAAATCCAGTTCTACTACTTATTTGCTGTAATACTGGACAGACTGTTTCATCTCTGTCTGTTTCCTCATCTATAAAATGGGGTGACAACAGCACACAGCTAACTTTAATTCATGAAAAACACCTATTAACACAATGCTTCACACATAGAAATCACCCAGTAAATATTTGCCACTAGTATGTATTAAGTTCTCCCCAAAGCCACCAAATTTAGTCACAGTAAAATAGATGGCATGCCATAAGTAACTTATTATATCTCAATGTTACAGGTGGGCAAGATAAACTTTAGAGATATTTATATAGTATAGACATCTTAGATAATGAGTAGTAATTAGGCATTTAACACTAAAACCAGCAAGAGAATACTGATGATATTGGTGGGGAACTGTTTTAGTGAAAAGAACAATGGAAATCTGGAAATACTTGTTTATTCATTAGCAAGATTATCTTGTTGCCTAACAGTTTCTATACTCTATACTCAAGGTTGGGAATACAATGACTGCTGCCTTCCTGACAAATGTAGTCTAGAAAGGGAAATGGACAAAGAGATCCAGAAATAAATTTAGTCCTTGGATGCTACTCAAGCTAGCTGAAGCAGCCAACACTGCATCAGAGGAGGATTCTCAGACGGCATGTCATCTAGGCTGGGACTTGAAAGGAGAGAGTTCTCTAGAGAAAGAGAGCAATTTATATAAAGACCTGGAGGCAGAAAGAACAGGATGCACTTGAGAGGTTGGAAATTATAAAATATAGCTAACATGGAATATGCTGAGAAAGAGGGAGTGGTGAGAGAAGTTAGATAAACATGGCCAAATTCTGCCAGGCCTTGTAAGCCATGTTAAGAATTTTAGATTTTCTCCTAAAAAGAGAAGCCACTGAAGGTCACAGGGAAGAGACCAGCAGAACTGCATTCTAGAAAGCCCAATTTGAATGGGATGGGGACAATGTATTGGGGGGTGGCAGAGATGGTGGTAGAAAAGCTGGCTAAAGGGCTGTGGTGAAGACAGAGAAGAGTGGCCTAGCCCTGGACAGATGCAACAGAGAAATACATGAATTTCTGAGATATGGCCTTGGCAACCAGAAGTTTGGTGGTAGCAATCTACAAGAACCACGAAGGAGGCTTGGGGAGTGAGCAGAAAGTTGGTAAATTCAGCTGGGATCTGCTGGTGACAGAGGCCCCTTGTACATAGGCTCCATAGGCAGGTGCACTGAGTTGTCAGCTTGGAGCAAGTTTAGGGCTGGACAACTACACTGGAGAGTTTCCTGCTCACTGACAGGCCCTGAGTGAAGTGCGCCCAGACCAAACTTCCCACGTCTCAGTACTGCTCTTAAAAGAGCTTACAGGAGGAAGAAGTGATCCAGTCTTCTCATGTTAGAGGCCAGATGTGTGACCTCAGGCAAGGAAGTTAATGTTATTATTTCCAGTGTTTCCAATTTTTAAATGGAGATTAAAGCAACTGCTTTATCTGACTAATGGAGCTTTATGGGGATTCAACAAAATAATGCAAATGGTAAATACTGGGAAAGCACACATTGCTATAAATATATGGTAACACCACTGTCAGGATTATTCAACCATGAAAATATGTAAAAGCTGGAAGGGGGAACTTCAAACTCTACATGTGAAAGTTTTTGGAAAATGGACACTGATCCATCATTAATAAAGAGAAATAAAAACAGGTAATAAGCAAGAAATAACAATATGTAAGTAATCAGTGGTCTCTCTGAATCTGGGTACATTAGTCATTCTGATTTTCTCTCACCGTCTTTGACAGGTTCATTGTGGATGGAA